CCAGCCCGGTTCCGGGTGCGAGCCCGGCCGCGGCGGCCCTGACGCCGGGTCTGGTCCCCGGGCGTCACGGGGGAGAAAACACTAGAATCCAAAACAAAGCCGCTTTGGCCCCGCGCGCGGGCGGCGGAGGCAGCCGGGTCTCCGTCCGTTCGGAGCCAACCCGGACTTCACAGTGGGTTCCAGGACGGCCAGGGCTCTGCAGCCAGGCCCTGTCTCAAGAAACCAAAATAAACAAAGGGTAACAACGAGCTGATCTGAGCCGGGCGGCGGCGGCGGCGCCTTTAACCCCAGCCCTCGGGAGGCAGGGCCAGGCGGGTCTCTGTGAGTTCGAGGCCAGCCTGGGACACAGAGCGACATCCAGGATAGCCAGGGCTGCACAGAGAAACCCTGTCTCAGAGGGGGGAAAATATAAAGAAAGAAGCGTAGGTTGTTTGAGCAGACGAGACCCCAGTGGGGAAGGAGGTCTGCACAGTTTAGGTTTTCTCGTTGGCTGGGCCCCGGGACCTGGTCTCTCCAGCCTGCCCGTTATCCCTGATCCTGGGGGATGCTCTGTTCTTCCCTCACTGAACAGGAAGAACCTATGGTGGTGTGGATGTCGAGAGGTTGCCCCTGTCAGGCTGGGGGTGGGTGGTGCTCAGCTGGGGCCTATCCAGAGCTTGGGGACCAGCCCAGCCACACAGCATGCGGCACTGCTGGGTCAGTGCAGTGTTCCTGCCTGTCCTGTCCCCAGCCAGGCCAGGCTGTGCAGACCCTGGCTCTCCAGTTCCCCGGCTCTCCGGTCCCCGCCTCTCCTGCTGAGGGCTTACCCCCTCTCTGAGGACAGCTGGTTCTCTGTCTGCAGCTTTGTCATGACCGTGGCTACCTGGTGACCCAGGATGAGCTGGACCAGACACTCGAGGAGTTCAAGGCACAGTTTGGCGACAAACCTAGCGAAGGGAGACCGAGGCGCACAGACCTCACCGTGCTGGTGGCCCACAATGACGACCCCACAGACCAGATGTTTGTGTTCTTCCCAGGTGAGTCCGCGGGTCCCACGTGGCCCAGCTTTGGCTGCAGGACCGTGGCAGCGCCGGCCTGCTTCCCCTGCATCAGGACCGTGGCAGCGCCGGCCTGCTTCCCCTGCGTCCCCGAGAGCCTTCCTGGTCTCGCTGGTGTCCACTCTCTGCCCCTTGGGTCTCCCAGGCCCCCGACTCCTGTCTGCTGTGTTCTGTAGTTTCTGCTTTACGCCCAGGCAGCTCTGAACGGTGTCTCATGGGAGGGGGTCTCCCTGTGCAGCTGCCTTCTGGTCTCCCCAAATAGCCTGTCTCCTTGAATATCCTGATGATCTGAGGCCCTGGGGCCTATGTTTTTAGTGTGAGCTTTAGCGGTATAGGCATGGGCTGTACCTGTAATCCCAGCACTGGAGAAGCAGAGGCTGAGGTAGGCAGTCAAGGCCAGCCTGGTCTATACAGTGAGTTCTGGGACAGCCAGGGCTACGTAGAGCAGTGATTCTCAACCTTCCTAATCCTGTGACCCTTTAATAAAACAGTTCCTCATGTTGTGGGGGGATCCCCCCCCCCACCATAAAATTGTATTCCTTGCTACTTAATAGCTGTAAATATCTGTTTCCTGTGGTCTCAAAGGGGTCGGGACCCACAGTGAGAACCACTGATGCAGAGGAAAAACCCTGTCTCAAAAAGAAAATTTATATTGGGAGTGTAGAGTTGTGAGACCCAGCAGTTTGCAAACTACGTGTGTATGGTTATGTGGGCTGCTCCAGTGAACCCCAGTCCGCCTGAGGAGCCAAGGCTAGCCCCATGTGGACACAGGATCCGTCTCTTCTCTTTAAGGCTACCCAAGCTGACAAAACACGTCCCCTAACCCTCAGAGCAGCGGGACCTCCACCCTGCTGGGGGGGGGGGGCGGGGCGGGGGGGGGCAGGGTCAGGCTCCCGCAGCTTCCTCCTGCCTAGCCCGGTCATGGCTGCTCGTTGTTCTGGTATTCCCTGGCCAGTGGGGAGCCCGAGACTGGCGGGGCAGTGGTGGCCTCCGGCTCTGGGTACGAGGTTGTGCTGTGTCCGCAGAGGAGCCCAAGGTGGGCATCAAGACCATCAAGGTGTACTGCCAGCGCATGCAGGAGGAGAACATCACGCGGGCGCTGATCGTGGTGCAGCAGGGCATGACGCCGTCCGCCAAGCAGTCCCTGGTGGACATGGCCCCCAAGTACGTCCTGGAGCAGTTCCTGCAGCAGGAGCTGCTCATCAACATCACGGAGCACGAGGTGCGTGTCCGCGGTGGGGGGGGTGGGGGCGGGCGGGCGGGGCAGGGGCGGCTGGACAGACCCGGAGGGCCCTCCCAGCCGCGGGCTCTGCCATTCATGTGCCGGGCCAGGGTGTGTCCCCAGCTTTGGTGCTGTGGCCCTGAGCATCCCACTCCTGTGACAGGACCCTCAGCCTGCTGGGGTCCGTGGGGGTCCCCGGTGGTTGCATGGCTGTGGGTGGGGGGTCCATGGGGGTCCCCGGTAGTTTCATGGCTGTGGGTAGGGGGGTCTGTGGGGGTCCCCGGTGGTTTCATGGCTGTGGTGGGTCTCTGTCTCCACAGCTGGTCCCTGAGCATGTGGTCATGACCAAGGAGGAGGTGACGGAGCTGCTGGCCAGATAGTATCCTTTACCCCCCCCCACCCCCCCCACCCCCGCGCCCCACATTGAACACCTCATCCAGTGCTGCCCCATGAGCTTCCTTGACTGTATCCCAGCAAGCTTCGTGAGAGCCAGCTGCCCAGGATCCAGGCCGGGGACCCAGTGGCACGCTACTTTGGGATCAAGCGAGGACAGGTGAGGAGCCATGGCCGTCGCTCCCCTCCTCGGCCTCAGGAATTCTTGATTCCTAAAGTTCCCTGGTTCCTCTGTCCCCTCCTTCTGAGGCCAGGGCCACCGTGGCCAGAAGATCGTGGGCCCTGGCTGCGGTGCCCGAAACCCTGCCGACCCCAGCTCTGCTCCCACAGGTCGTGAAGATCATCCGACCCAGTGAGACCGCCGGCCGCTACATCACCTACCGCCTGGTCCAGTAGCCAGCGCAGGGGAGCCCCGCCATAGCGCGCGTCCCCAGCCTCCCCAGATGAGCTGCCTCCCCAGCCAGCACACTGCCTGCCTCGTCCCCGCCCAGGACACCACCCCATTCTGAAAAGGAGGACTGTTGGGTGAGACGCCTCGGCCGCCCAGCCTGGCCGCCCAAGTGGACCCCCTTGGTGGAAGGAGAGACTGACTCCGGCAGGCCGTCCTCTGACTCACACACACCATGGCAGCTGCACGTGTACCCACAAAAATTAAAACCAATGGCAGGCCCGTCCTTAATCCCAGCACTCAGGAGGCAGAGGCAGGTGGATCTCGTGAGTTCCAGGGCAGCCTGGGCTACATCCTGAGATCTTATTTAAAAAATCAAACAAACTGTACTGTTGCCAGGTTAGATCCTAGCACTCTGGAGTCTGAGGCAGGAGGATTGCTGCAACTTCAAGTTTGTGGACTCTTTATTTTAGCAAGAAGTGGTCCAGCGCCAGCGTTCTGGACCCTCGTCTGAAAAACAGTAAACAGGAACCCCACACAGCATGGGTCATGCTCTGGGACCCCTGGGAGCCAGCTGATCTGTGCCCCAGCTCCCCAGCACCCTCCTGCCTGGCACCCTGATGAACAGTTGGCCAGTGTCTCGGGGGATGCCGCCCTGGATAAGGCCAGCACTGCCACCAGGCACTGTGCACCCCAAGAGCACTGGCCACACCCAAGTCCTTTGTCACTCTGGGGTCCCCATCCTGCTTAGAGTTCTCCATTCTCGTAGGACTCTGTTTTGAGAATTAAAGATATTTTGAGGAGATAAATTGTTTTGATTCAAGACGGGTCAATTTGGGCTTAGATTGTACAAGGTGGGTCCTGGAGGGCCCATGTATCCCCTGGGGCCCCCAGTCACGTGTGAGTGGTGAGCATCTGTCTGCTGCCTGCGTGGCCGCAGCCCTGACTGCCATCACTTGCGTGGACTGATCGTGGAAGGAAGGACGCCGGCAAGCACCACCGGCAAGCACCACGCCCCTGGGCCACGCCCGGCCCTTCCTGTCTTTATGTCGTGCAGTCGGGGCTCCAGCTCACTAAGTAGCTGTGGTGGACCTGACGTTCATGCTGCCCTGCCCCCCTCAATGCTGGGGTGACAGTCCCATTCCTCAGCTCAGGCTGGCCTGGAAGAGCCTCCTGCCTCAGTCTCCTCCAGCAGTGCGGGGCAGCTGTGCCCCCCAATCCCGTCCTTTCTTACACAGCCATCGTCTCTTATTCCCAGGACATCCATCACCCAGAAGAATGTTAGCGCTGTAGGCCATCAGTCCTGCCCCCTCTCCAGTCCCCAGAGTACTTCCTGTCCCTGAATTCTGTTCTCCGCGTTTCCTACCATTGTCCACGCCGTGGCCTTTTGTGTCTGAGTCTCTTGACGCAGGATGTCCTCGGGGTTCCGCCACACTGCGGCTAGTGTTGGAACCTCACTGCTGTGTGCAGGCCACACAGTGCGCCTGCCTCCCCTGCGGACACCGGGCTGTGGCGCCCGCTAGCTGCTGTGTGTGCCGTACACCTGAGCGGAGCGGGATGTTCGGTTAATGCATTGAGCGGTTTGTTTTGAGACGAGGTCTTGTGTATGCAACCCAGGCTGCCCTGAGACTGAAAGTATTTCCCCGTCCTGTGTGCTGGGGTACCGTGTGCACCGCCACAAGAGGGCTAGCCTGTGCTGGGGTGACCGTGTGCACCACCACAAGAGGGCTAGCCTGTATGTGCACACACCGGCAGGCAAGGACATACCCGCTTGTGGAGGTCAGGACTTCCTGGTCTTCACTGCCTGTCTTGCCCTTAGGAGGCTGGGATTAGACTGCATCTGGCTTCAGTATGTTCTGGAGATGATAGCCAAGGCACTTTCTCACTCTGTAGACCAGGCTGGCTCGGAACTCAGATCCACCCGCCTCTGCCCCCCAAAGGCATGTGCCACCATGAATGCAGATGCCGGGAGAGACCAGAGGCTCCTATCCCCAGCATTGGAGTGACAGATGGTTGTGGATCACCGTGTGGGTGCTAGGAACCAAACCTGGGTCCTCGGGAAGAACTGCCAGGGCTTTTAACCTCTGGGCCATCTCTCCTGCCCACCTCCATCCGTTCTCACACATCTCGGGCATTTCCGTGTGTCAGTGAGGGCCGCCGTCCAGCTTGGCCCCTGTGTGCTAAGACCGGGCAATCTGCAGGACAGACTGCCGCTGAAGGCCGGCTCCTGGCCCCTCCTCCAGTCCTGCGGGTCCCCAGACACAGAGGTGGGGTGTTTTCCATGACTGAGGCTTCTGAGTTCCCCTCCTGTCCATAGGAGGGCGCCTCCTCTCCAGTGCAGTGGTTCAGCCTGTGGGTCGCGCCTCCTTCACAGGGGTCACATGTCAGACATTTACAATTTATAACAGCAGTGAGGTCACAGCAGCCGTGTAGCAAGGGAAATACTTTGATGGTTGGGGTCATCACAGCCCGAGGGGCGGTACTGATGGGCGGCTTCAGAGTGGGAGGTCGGAGTTTCTGGAGAGCGATCGTGGGGACAACCACAGCCGGGTGACATGGAAGGCCCTGGCAGCCCTCTGGTCACCACGGCTGAGGGGCCCAGTTCACCCTCCTGTGAAGTCACACAGCTCAGGGCACACGAACCCGTTGTCACTCGCGGGTTGGTGGGTGGGGATGTGGCCTGCGGCGTGCAGCCATCCAGCGCTGGGAAGCCGCGGGTTTCACACAGCGCTGCAGTCAACATTGCCAGCCGCCCCACCACGGTGGCCTCCGTGATCTCTACGGTTTGACTGACTGTGAGGTGGGCGGGCTGCTTCTGAGTCTGGGGGTGCGTGAGCCAGCTCTAATCCCAGCGCTGGGGAGGGAGGGCTCCCCGAGTTCCAGGCCAGCCAGGACTACATAGTGAGACCCTGCCTAAAAACAAAAAAATGACTTCAGAAAAACGAAACCAAGTCTTACATACGTCAAGGTCAACAAATCTGTTCCCTCACCGCCAGCCTGTGTTAGTTCCTCTCTTGAAGAAGAACCGAGTCCAGACTCCCTTGATGTCTGGGTCCTGGCCAAGAGCCAAGACATCTTGTTTACCAAGAGCAGGGCCACCCCTGAAGTGCTGACCACGACCATCTCCAGTCACCCTGCCCTCAGGCTCAGGCATTTTATCTGTGCCTGTGGCTTGCTGCAGGCATCTGGCTGACCCCTCCCCAGGAAGCCCCCCCCCCCAACCAGGAAGGAAGGCCCCTTCCCCTCTTGCTGGTATCAGGGTGGCAGAGACTTCTGTGGACTCCATGACTGGAATGACAAGCTGGCCTCTGCTCCCCAGTGTCCCTGGGTCACCGGGGAAGACATGAACTGATCCTCCTGCCTCCACGGTGCTGGGATGACAGGTGTGTACCACACCTAGTTCCTGAGCAGGGGATGAATCCAGCCCCAGGGCCACCGTCATGTGAGGATCAGGAGGGGACAGGTGCCACCCGCCCTCCCCAGGCTAGAGCTCTGCGGGAGAGGAATCCTTTCCCAGAGCTTCAGAGATAGGTCTAAAATGTAGCTTGCAACAAAACCAAACCCCGATGTGGTGGTGCCCACCCGTGGTCCTGGCACTCGGGAGGCAGAGCCAGGCGGATCTCTGAGTTCAAGGCCAGCCTGGTCTACAGAGTGAGATCCAGGACAGCCAGGGCTACCCAGAGGAAACTCTGTCTCAAACAAACAGATGAACACACAGGCACATCTCACCTAGATCACAGCCAGGAACTAACAGAGGGACCTGGAACCCTGGGCCAACTCGAGAGACTAAACTATTTTGTTGTTTTTGTTTTTGTTTTCAAGACAGCTTCTCTGTGTAGTCCTGGCTGTCCTGGAACTCACTTTGTAGACCAGGCTGGCCTCAAACTCCCAGGGATCTGCCTGCCTCTGCCTCCCGAGTGCTGGGATTAAAGGCATGGGCCACACCATCTGGTGAGCCTAGACTACTAAAAACAAAAAGTTAAATTCAAGTGCCTGAGGCCAGGGCTCAGTGGAGAGAGCACTGGCCCAGCATGCATGGAACCCTGGGCTCCCTCTCCAGCACCACGCACACCTGGTTCAGAAGGGACAAAACCTGTCATCCCAGCACTCTGGAGAAGAGGTGGGCAGATCCACAGCAAGTTCAAGGCCAGCCTCTGAGAATCTGTCTCAAAATGAAAAAAGTGAAATAAAAACACACCCACACACTCGTCTGGGCAGCTCTGACAGGAAACTGTCCCTCAAGTGTGTTCAGGACTGATAGGCTCAATGCCTCCCTCCCCAGAGTTCCTGTCACTGGGTGGTCCCCACCGCCTGGGCCGCCACCTGGCGCCTTGCTTGAACGTGACTCAGAAAACAGACCAAGGAAGATGGGTTTAAAATGTAGGCCAGGGCTCTTGCAGAGGACCCAGGTTTGGTTCCCAGCACCCAGGGCCCCCGAGGACCTCCTCACCCCTGCAGGCACTGCACGCGCATGGCACACACACTCGCAAGCAAAACACCCAACTCATAAAATAAACCTTACAACACTAAATCCCACAGCCTGGTGCCCACAGCCTGGTGCGGTGGCGCGCGCCTTTAATGCCAGCCCTCGGGAGGCAGAGGCAGGCGGGTCCCTGTGAGTTCGAGGCCAGCCTGGTCTACATAGGGAGCTCCAGGATGGCTCAGGAGGTTAAGAAGTTTATTTCAAGCAAAATGGGGTGCATGTGAAAAACTTGTGCACTGCACCTTGGGTGGGGTCCGCTATGTACCCCACGTCCATCTATCCATGCGCATGCGCAGCGTCCTGCAGGCATCCTGACGTCAGAGCCACCCCCAGCTCCGCACACAGAAGCCAGGCCTGCACTCCCAGCGTCCTGAAAGGCCGCTAACCCTGACAGTGCTCCCATCCAGGCACATCCAGAGAGGGGTGTGGCTTGCACCCACAGGAGAGATGAGGGTGCCATGGGAATCCAGCTGCTGCATCGGCGCAGGCGCACGGAGGTCAAGCAACTCCATCCGGGACCAATGTCCAGCTGCGTCGGGCCACACCCCACAGTGCCAGGGCCCCTGAGCTCCCTGAAGTTTCTTGGTGTTGTGGGCAGCCACCCCCCCCCAAGTCCAGGGCCGTTAGTGACCCTTACAGTGGTTGGCAGTGGCTGACAGTCCCCCCCATCACTACCCAGCTCAGACGAACTGCGGCCGCCGGTCCCCGCTGGTGATCTGGCCCCCCCGGAGCCGCATGGTGGGCAGGGGGGCCCGGGCGGTGTTGTTGGACTGGTTGGTGTTGAAGGCGCACAGCTGTTGGCCCGGCTCTCCATCCTCCCCCTCCAGCTGCTCCTCACTGCCGCTGCGGCTTTGGGGACCTTCCTCTAGACCTGCCTCAGCCTCGGGCTGCTCCAGGAAACTGAGGCGGTGCAGGGCGCTGGCGTCGGAGGACGACAGGGCATCAGAGGCCTCTTCCAACTCCGAGTCTGAGTCATTCGATGCCACTCGGGATTCTGTGGCCGAGAGAAGGGGATGAAGAGAGAGGGTGGAGGGTGGGGTGAAGGCAAAACCAGAGACAGACAAAAATCAAAAGACAGAAAAACTTGTCCTGTGACCAAGGCTCAGCCACCCCGGACTCCAGGACCGTCCCCAGCCCACCCTTTCCCTCCGCTGGCCCTGCGGTGGGTCTGCAGATGCTCACAGGCCCCCCGCCCTCTGTCCCCTCCCTGGGGTCCCTGGGGGGGTCTGTAGACGCTCACAGGCCCCCCGCCCTCTGTCCCCTCCCTGGGGTCCCTGTGGGGGGGGTCTGCAGCCCCTCACAGGCCCCCCGCCCTCTGTCCCCTCC